GAAGGAAAACAAGTGAAAATGGAAAACAACTGTCAGCTCTGACGGAGCAACTGACACAGACAGAAGAAGAACGGCAAAGTTTAGAGCAGACTCCTCCTCCAACAACTACATCCATCAACCCTCCTCCACCCGACTCCTACAGTCCAACACAGCCCCAGATCATACTCCTGATGGACTCCAATGGCAAATTTGTTGATGAAAAGAAACTGTTCCCGAGAAGAAATATAAAAAAAATATGGTGCCCAAACACACAGAAAGCCCTGGAGCTCTTGTGTGAAGAGCAGCTGGGTTCCCCCAGCCATATTATCATCCACACCGGCACCAACGAGCTGAGAGCTCAACAAGAGAGAGTAGCTACAGCTCTCGTTAATGTAGCAGAGAAAGCATCCTCCAACTTCCCCAACTCCAGAATCATCCTCTCCACCCTGCTGCTGTGCTCGGATTTCCACCCAGATACCATCAGGCATATAAACACGAGTGTCTAGAGACTGTGCCCTTAAAGCCCAATGTTTACCTGGCTCAACACCCCACCCTCAATCTCAACAGCCTTTACGACCATGTGAAAAAATTAATATATAGATTAGACATTTAATATTTATACAATTATTTTAAAAGATATTCTTAGATATGTATCATAATATTTAAAATATTCTACTTGATCTGTCGATTCAGCATACTGATGTTTGTCTTGTTTTTTAAATAACAAAGGTGATTAATGAACTCATATTCCTTAAAAATCTCATGTTGGAATATTCAAAGACATTTTTGGTGTTAAGAGCCAACATTCAGATTTCAAAAGAGAAATTCTGAATTCTGACATTATAATACTACAAGAAACATGGAATGTAAGAGATTTGTCCACTGGCTGCCCAACTGGGTTTAGAGAAATAATTTTACCATCCACCAAACTACGAGGGGTGACACAGGGCAGAGAGTCCGGGGGAATGCTGATACGGTACAGAACAGAACTCAGAGACGCAATCAAATCTATAAAAATCGGAAAATCGTACATTTGGCTAAAAATACAAAAAGATATTGTGTCCACAGACGTCACATATTCTTGTGTGCCACATACTTACCCCCGGCTGAATCTCCCTATTACAATGAAGAAAGCTTTTCTATCCTGCACGACGAGATCTGCCATTTCCAGACACAAGGAAATGTTTTAATATGTGGCGACTTAAATGCCAGAACTGGAAATGAAGCCGATTTTATCAACACACAAGGAGACAAATATATTACAAACACCTGCCACTCTCTGCCCTCATATCACCGCACAAAAAAATGATGACAGCTTCACAAACAAAAGTGGGAAAAGCCTACTCCAGCTCTGTCGATCACTGGGCCTGTACATAGTGAACGGTCGCATGCGAGGAGACTCTTTTGGCTGTTATACCTTTAATTCTTTCCTTGGTAACAGTACTGTAGATTATTTCATCACAGACATTGATCAAGTGCATCTCAGAGCATTCACAGAAATAAAGTAGGCATAAATCTGGCACTAAAGGACATTACAGATATATTCCACCAATCAGCATCCATGTGCAATTTGAAAAAATCATCAAAAATAAAAATAAAAAACACAGATGAAAAGTGGTTTGACGGTGAGTGTAAAAGAATTAGAACGACAGTACGAAATCTTTCAAATAAAAAACACAGAGATCCTGACAACCAAGAACTCCGTCTTCAATATCATGAAGCTCTTAAAGTGTACAAACAAACTCTAAAAGCAAAAAAGGAAGAGCATACAGAACAATTATTTCAAACAATGGAGGAAAAAGCTCTATACACATCAAACTGACCCTCTGAAAAATCCCAACCAACTAAAAGTTCTTGAAAAATTTAATGCTCTTGAATCATGTATCAAAAACAACCAAAATCCACTAGATTATCCAATAACCCAACAAGAACTTGTGTGTTTGTGTGTGTGTAACTCACCTGCCTGCACTGCTTTAACGTACTCCAGAATGATCTTCACACGACTGTGCAGCATCTTTATAGCGCTGTGCTGAGCGATCAGATGCTCCGCCACTGACAGAAACACACAGAAACACAGGTCAATCACACACACTCCTGTGTCTGTGTGTGAGTGTGTGTGTCTGTGTGTATCAGAGTGTGTGTGTCTGTATCAGATTTACATGTATTTTTGTTTTGTTTGTTTATGGATGTATATTATATGTATTTTTGTTCTGATCTGTACAATGATTTGTCAATATGTACCCAAGTATGTCATGCCAATAAAGCAATATTAATTGAATTGAGAGAGAGAGTGTGTGTGTGTGTGTGTGTGAGAGTGTGTGTGTGAGTGTGTGTGTGAGTGAGTGTGTATCTTTATAGCGCTGTGCTGAGCGATCAGATGCTCCGCCACTGACAGAAACACACAGAAACACAGGTCAATCACACACACTCCTGTGTCTGTGTGTGAGTGTGTGTGTCTGTGTGTATCAGAGTGTGTGTGTCTGTATCAGAGTGTGTGTGTGTGTGAGTGTGAGTGTGTGAGTGAGTGAGTGTGTGTGTGTGTGAGTGTGTGTGTGTGTGAGTGTGTGTGTGTGTGTGTGAGAGAGAGAGAGTGTGTGTATAGGGATATATGGTTTATGAGGACACAAATGTGTCCCCGTAAAACAAAAGGCTTAAAAAACATACAAAACGGTGTTTTATGAAATTCAAAAATTGCCAGCAGTCTCCTGTGAGGGGTAGGTTTAGGGGTAGGGTTGGTGTAGGGCAATAGAATATATAGTTTGTACAGTATAAAAACCATTATACTATATATGTGTGTGTGTACCGGTGGAGTTCTCTCCTGTCCCGATGGCTGTCATCCGTGCGACGTGATCGACTCCGATGCGCTCTGCTTCTTCTGTCGCTAGTGTATACGGCAGCTCAGCAAATAGCATAGTCGCCTAGCAAAGAGGACAAAAGGTTACGACCTCTGACCTCCAAACTAAAGACGGGTTCAAACACAGACTTCATGTGAACGATGTGAGATCAATCTTTGAGCGAGTGTCTCTGTCCGAGACTGAAACACATCTCTATCACACGCTTTCTGAAATATTATGTCTGAATCTGCAAATTAGGTATTATCTAATTAAATATGCACAGATTTGCATTCAGTTCCAGCACATAAATCTGATCACTGGATAAAGTCCGGTTCATAATTCTGGTCTGATTTTGTTCTTATATTAGAGTTGAAGGTTTTTCCAGAGAGGATTCTGGATTTCTCTTTCATCGCTCCATAAATCAGAAAACACTCAACAGACGGAAAACAAACACATTTTCACCATGTTTTTAGGAGTGAAAGATTTTTGATTTCTCTTTAAAGATTGAAATCTACAGAAGCAAATAGATAAAGTGCAATAAAATAAACACTTAGATGTGTGTTTCGGATGTTTTCTGTGCACTAGACTGAAAGAAGAGAAGATCTGGAGCAGAACAGACAGAAATCTCTAAACTGAGCCATGAATGAAACACTGCTTCAGTCTGTTCTTTATGTTGATGATCTGTCAGTGTCAGTCCAGCTCAAGTGCTCTAGAGAAAGCTGCTCGATTTTCCTCATGTTTTGAGAGACGTCCTTTATGTATTAGTATCGCAAAACCACCAGCTTTTTATTTGTATTTGTCATGTCACAAAACAGAGTTTGGTTCAAGAGATGCGGACGAAACATTACACATTATACTGTACATGAGCTACAGAAACATTAGACCTGGAGCTCAAGTCTACACGCCATGATCAAGATCACTGCAAGTGAAGACCTGCCAACCTTCAGTCTGCACTCAGTTTGGGATATTCCTGTTATACAGTATTTTAGAGTAAACAGTACAGTTAACCCATAGTTCAATAAATACCTCGGCTTTTTAAACACAGTTTAGTTATTTTTTGCTATTTTTAAATGCTACTTAAATAAAAACATCTTTAAAACTCCAGTACACTTCTGTATACATGGATTATCAAGTCTACTTCAAATGTATTTTGAGAGAAGTTTTATTTTTATGGATTGGCCATAATTTAGTGCTATGAACACATGTAATGTGTGTTTCATTCATACTGAAGAGAAAGAAAATCCACATATGCATCACAGAAGACACAGCGCTCCAGGAAATCACATGGACAAAAGCATCCAGCTATCACGTAACTGAATTAAAGACGACAGAAACGCTTTGAATGATGACATTTAAAGAAAACATTAAGACAAAAAACACTCTACTGCAGCAATGTTTATTTAAAGTATATTTAAAATCTATTGCTAATTGACATAGCCTTTATTACAGTATAGAATATATTTCTGCCTCATTCTGTGCTAAGAAGCCCCAGCAGCTCAGAACAGAAGTTATTTCTATTCGTCAGTCGTTGCGGGGTATGTTAAATGTTCTCTTTAGTTGGACAACAGGTTTAGAAATGCTCCACATTACAAGTCATTACAAGCGAAGATGCTCGGCGTGTGTTGCTTTCTCAGATACACATGCTTCCTCATCTCAGCGGCAGAGAGAAATAAAACACACACAGATTATTTAAAAGCAAACCAACCCGACCCGACCCCCCCCCCCTCTGATTGGCTGAACTCTTCAGGTTTCTCCGTTGCTTGTTTGAACACTGAATGGACAGAGGTGTCAGCAGGTTTTGTGTAGTTTAGAGGGAGACATGCGTACAGGTTGGCCGATCTGCAAGTGCAACTTTTAAAGTGATGTTATAATAGTACGATTGATTGTTACCTCATTACGTCACAAACAGGTAATCAATCAAACAAATAAGAAAATTATAAATGCCCAAGCAACGAACTTGGCACTTGAGATTATTCTATCATGTCTCCTGTCCTGCTAAGCAAATATTATAATAATAATTATTATATCATCATTCATAGTCATGCAACAATATTGAGACATGAACCTGAGACACACACACACACACACACTCACCCCCACACACACTCACTCCCACCCACACACACACACACGCGCTCACTCCCACACACACACACGCGCTCACTCCCACACACACACACACACACACGCTCACTCCCACACACACACTCTCACACACACACACACACTCTCACACACACACTCCCACACACACACCCACACACACTCACTCACACACACACACACACACACTCTCACACACTCACACTCTCACACACTCACTCACTTGCACACACACACACACTCACACTCACTCACACACACACACACACACACACTCACACACACACACACACACACACACACACTCACACACACCCACACGCACACTCACACTCACAGACACTCACACACACACGATCACACTCACAGACACACACACGCTCACACTCAGACACTCACACACACACACACACACACACACTCACACACACACGCTCACACTCACACACACGCACACACACGC